TTCAGAACCCACACTCTCAACCGTGATGCTGCCCTTGGTTTCGTCTCCTATAAAATGTGCTAATCACCCCAACCCCAACTGTTATAAAAGCCCTGAGCAAAGTGGAAACTGAGGTTCAGCGAGGTTAAGCAACTTGCCCAAGTTTACACAGTCAGCAAATGCTAGAGCCTGGGTCTGAGCTGGGGCCTTTTGACTCCACGTTGTGTGCCCAGGACCTACGCAGCAGGTGACCAGAAGCGTGGCCTTTGGACTCCCACGTCAGGGTTGAACCCCGGCTATCATTTACGGGTTATGGGACTCCGGCAAGTTGCAAACTTCTTTGAGCTTTAGTTTCCTCATCTAGAAAATGCAGACAATGATACTCATCCCACGGAAGGGTTGTGAGGGTCCAGAGAGATGGCATACGTCATGGGCTTGGTCTAATGCTAGGCACATAGTCAAAATTCAAAGGACCAAATACCAGGATGGGAAAGTGACGGTATGAGGGTTAAGAGTGTGAGCTCATAAAAGAAAAAATTTTAAAAAGCACTAGTTCGAGAGCTAGAGTGCCTGTGGTCAGGTGGATCACAGTGCAAGCATTTGCCACGTGACAATGGGCCGGTCACTCGAGCTCACTGGGGCTCAGTGTCCTCACCTATAAATTGCGGGTTGTTAGGAGATTTCAATGAGAAAACACAAGCAATGCCCTTAGAGCAGAAAGGAGCATGTGGACAGCACACGGTCAGAGCTGACTGCTCTTACTGCTAATGATGAACAGCAGCCAGTGTTAGTTACTACTCCACACCACACCTCCTTTGGTGAAAAGGTTTAAAAAACAATTAAATGCTATAAAATCAGGCATTATTGCCATGGCCGTGTAAGCTACATGATTTGACCTAAATAAAACTAGCCTTCTCCTCATATCACTCCCTTCACCTTTTGTTCTGCAAACAAATTTCTTCAGAAAAGAAAAGGCAGGGTATTCAAATGGGGACCCACAAGGACTGGACCCCTTGCTAGGGAGAATGGGTGAACGGAAAAATGCAAACTCATCCTCCAAGGCTGCCTTGCTGAATTGGCCTCTTTGGAGACAACAGACAACTTTTCTGGCCCAGGCCAGAGCAGCCAAGGGACCCTTCCCACAGAAGGGGACAGGACCCAGGGGCAAGGCCCTAGGCTCTACAGGCTTTGTGGGTGGTAAGTGCTGACTGTGATTTCTCTATTTTCCCACCAAAATGCCTACAAATGTATCTATGGTGGAAAGGTCACTGGTTGCACAAGTTTCTCAAGAAACTTTCCAACAAAGAAACCAAACGTGGAACAGATCTGTCGGGATCACCATCCAGGCATGGCAGCCCTGGGAGGACACGAGCAAAAGAAAAATCCTTTCCGCCCTTGGTTTCGGCCTCCCCCTCTGCTGGTGAGGTGATGCAATTCTTATCTGGAACTTGATAGCATGTAGAAAATAATTAGAAATGAAAAGGTTATTCATAATTTTTAAATGAGTTAATTAGTAAATCCAGTCAGACTCACTCATTACAGTAATTAATAATTGATTATACTTGAAATTAAACACAATTTTTCATCAAAAATCTAATTAAATATCTGTGCTTTTGCCTGTTGATTAGATCACTTGGTCTGTTGGAAGAGAGTCTTTGTTAAGGATATTTGTGCTTGGCTGAGACAATTAATTTGGTTTTTAATAATTGATAGCTCCTTACAAGTTAGTCATCACAGCCTGTAATTATGGCCAAGCCACAAGATGTTCATCCTTTGCCCTCAGCAGCCGAAGGAGACCAAGCAATAAGGTTGCTACCCCCAGGCCTTGAAGCAAGGTTGGGACGTTCCTCACACCTGCAATGCATTCACCTGCACGAGCCTGCTCCACCTCGCAAACATCCTTCTGAGCTAGTGGGCTGTGCCTATTTTCTAGAACTGGAAATCAGAACTCAGAAAGAGAAGCAATTGCCCAGCTACAGTGTGGGCTTTCACTGGGCTGGGCTGAGTCTCCAGGTGACAAGAGGAATGCCCCAGGCTGGCGTCTCTCTCCTGACCCTTGGATATGAACTCTAGAGTCCAGTCTTAATGTTTCCACACAGATAGAATTTTAGCAGAAGGATGTGTTTATGCTTGGCAAGGACATGCTATCAATGACTTGAGACACAAATCCTCCTGAAGTGACCTTAGATCCACCCCCTCCTCTCCACCCACACTGGCACTGCCTCAGTTCATGAAGCCATCAGCTTTTCCTGACTAGTTCACTGCAATAGTTTCCCACCAGGTCTGCCTTCTACTCTTTCCTTCCTCTACCCTCATCTTTCTAAAATAAAAGGACTATGTAAGCAGTGGTAGGACTATGTCCTACCACTGCTTACAACCGTTCAATGGCTTCCCAACTGCCCATCCAATAAGGCCCTCAACTTGCCCTCCCAGCTGATCTTCGTAATCTGATGAAACGCTCCTGCATTAGCTCCAATGGCGCACCCCGCACAGCTCAAACACTTCACATACAGAAAATTTATTTGCCACCACGTCATCCTTTTTTCAAGTCTTTGTAAGTTCCCTTGCTTTGAAATACCCTTCCTGCATGTCTACTTCTGGCTAATGCCTACGTTAAAATTCAGCTCAAACATCACCTTTCCCAGGCAGCCTTCTCTAGTCCCCTCTGCTGGGGATGGGTATTCCCACAGCCCCTGAGCTGCTGTGTGAATCAATCACTGCTTTAAATTTGCCTGCTAACATAGCGATCTCCTCTTTAAAGCTATGAATGCCTCAAGGGTAGGGACTGTATCATTAACCCTAGCACTTAGCATCATGCCTGGCTCAAAGCAGATACTCTGTATGGTTTGCTGAATGAAAAATAAAATTCATAAAATAGTAGATTCTACTAAGACTCTCAATGTTGGAAGGAAAATTAAAGGTGGTCCAATGAAAACCCTCAGTCAGTGCTTAAATCTTCTTCTTGCTAAGTGGTCACTGAACTCTATTTGTGCCCTTTCTGATAGGGAGCTCACTACTTCTAACAGTAGCCCCTATCTTGAGATAGCTAAAGACTGACCATATATTCTTATTAAATGGGAGAGGAAGAAACCCATGGGATAGAAAATAGGAGAGAGTTTGATTAATCATGTGAAGATTTACTTTTCCTCATTGAACTAGACTACATGGTAGAAACTTTAAGACTTCAATGCAAAACAAATTGATGTCTGTATGCAGCAAACTACTTGCCTTTTGAACAGTGACACTGTCTGTCCAAAAATATACTTGCTTAGGAAATACAGTGATGTAAGTCAAAAGCAGGAGCTGTGCCATGGCTGGTGGAGACACAGTATTGGTGGTGCCAGAAGAAACTTCCATACGAAGTAATGGTGCACAGAACCCCAAAACCCTCACCTGTAATGCAATCTGTATCAATGACACACCTCGCACAGAGCCTGGGTAGGCCCTGACCTCTCCCAGTTTGGCTGTTCCTTTTAGCCAAGGACCAACAGCAAGGATGGCAAATGACTGATAGTCATCAATATTTTCCATTCCTGTCATCATGACAGACATCACTAATCAATCACAGAGACTCTTTTACGTTGAGTCTAAATATAGCCTCAGAATCCTTCTCAACACAGCTATCTAGGCAGCAAGAACTAATCAATCAGACAGAAGGAGAGATGAAACAGGCATGCCATCATGGCCTTGGAGCCATGAAATTCTCAAAGCCAATACTGACAAGGGGAAAAGACCTGGCATACCAGAGGAGGGTTATTGTAGCTCAAGATACTTTAGGAGACCTCCTTGTTTTCAGGACTGTCGTCTCCTGATTACTCACTTTTATACAATTCATGCATCTTGAGAGAAAAGCTAGCACACAACTTGCATCACCTAAACTTCCATCCATGCCTGAACCCCTTCTCCACCCCTTGAACAGCGGTGGCCCCTGCTCTATTAATGGCTCCTAGTGGCCACACTTACTGCCTCTCAAGACAGCCCCTTCCCAGCTACACTGGCTTTTCGTGTTACAAAGTTCTTTGTCACACTGGGCAGCACTCTGTCTTCTTTTGGCCTCTGCTGATTAGATCTATTTCTATTTGTGGGGCTTGTGCTGAAAAAGTCCTGTTTGCTTAGAGAATCATCTCAGCATTCTCAAGCACAGGTTCAAAGTCTTCTCAAGCTGGCCTGGCCTACCTTAAATCTGAGAAGTACAGAATCTGAAGGACAGGGAAGCCAGCCTTGCCTCCGATGCCTTGCCGAGAGGCTGACCTACACAGAGGCAGCAGACCACACAATGCCCGCATCTTTCCAGGTTAACATCTTTCCCAGGAGAAGACCACAGAACAGGGTCAGATGTAGGAAACCGACTGTCAGAAACACCTCTGAGGTCTGCGGAGGGACAGCCGTCCTGCTGCAGCCAGCGGAGCTCCTCAGGCCCGTCATGCTGGGGGTCAGGTGAGCGTGGCTCCACACTCCAGGCATCCCTCCGCCAGCTCTGTCCGCTCACGGGGACGTGCTGCTCCTCAGTCGGAACCTCCCTGGGTCCTGGCCGTGGTTTAGCTCTGGACCATGATGCCCTCTGACTACTTTGCCACCCCTTTGCCTTCAGACGTGCTTTCCTGGCAGTTTCCCTCCAGCTCCAGGACACCGCACCTCCTCAATGCAGCCGTGAGGCACCCACGGGAGAGGCTGCCTGCTGCCCAGCCTCTCCAACTTGTCATTTCACCTGTAGTGACTCCAGTCTATGACGCTCAATTACCATAGGTCCCCACCGCAAAGGCTAGTCCTACTGAGTGCTAGGTGCCCAACATCTGAAAGGACACGTGCTCGGCTTCCTTCCTGCTGTAAGTGCAGAGCGGGGAGGAGGGCCCCGAAGAGCTGACCCTGACAGTTTGGGGGTGCAGGCTGTCCTGCTGCTTGGCACACACGGCATGCTTTGACTGCCAGGCTGGTAAGGAGCCTTCAGTGCCCACAGGTGTCTTGGTCACTGCCCTCTGGGCCAAAGGGGAGCCAAGGGAAGCGGGGGAGGGTGCGCTTACCCACAAAGTACGCCAGCAGGATGACCAGCGTGGCCGAGATGACGATGGCGCTCAGGGCTGCGCACTTCCAGTTACAGTACTTGGAGGGCTTCTTGAGGTTGAAGGCCGGCCGGGCAAAGGTGCTGCGGGGCAGGGGCCGGGGCGGAGGGGAGTACACCGTGCTGGACGTCAGCGGGTACCCTGGCGAGGTGGTGCAGAAGAGCGGGGAGGTGCCTCCAGGCTTGAAGAGGAAGTGCCTGTGGACGGAGAGGAGCAGGGGGCATCAGGGTCTGCTGGCGGCCTGGGCGCCCAGCAAACCTGCAGGACAGAGGCAGCAGTAGAAGAGGCATGCAGAGGAGCCTGGAGAGAGAGAGAGTCACCCAGAGACGATGGGAGGGACGGGAAAAGGAGAACACAGACCAGACCACAAAACAGGGCACATGAAGACACGCTTCTACGGAACATGGATGGGAGAGCCCTGCCCGTGGGAAACCCACCCAAGGCAAGGCAGGTGTTACCAACTCAACAGAAGGCTGGCGATGAGATCCTTTTCCTGGGAATGGATGGGAGTGAGTTTCTGTTTCTTGGGGAATAAACTACCTGTCCTCTAAAATCATTACAGTAGCTTGGAAAGTGTCTAAAATCCTGTTCTATCCCCTGGAGACAACAGGGCCTGAAATATTTCTTCTCCTTCCAGTATGTACATTGCCAGTGCATCTTGGTTGAGGATTAGAGTATCCTTTTTTATTAAAGGGGGTCTTGTTGGTGTTGAAGCCAAGAAACCACCACTAACTTCTGCCATGGCCAAGAGTCCCCTAGTGGCCATTACACAGCCAATGGCAGCAAATGCCTGCAAAGCACTCTGCTCAGAAGCCAGACTGCTGCCTTCCAATCCCCAGGGAAAAGCTGTGTGAGAGGCAGACGGGCAGCTGCACCCCACAGCCTAGCTACAGTCTTGAAGGCAGCAGGGCATAGTCAAAGCACATGGTTGTGGCCAAACTAGGTGTCAGGGAATCCTCCACAGCTTGGCTTTAACCATGGCCACAGGAGGACTTGCATACAGCTGGGGAAGTGGGGTGCATTAGTTGCACTGTACACCCCTGCAAGTCTTAGGGTAAACCCACCTCTGTTGGGGTTCAAGATTCCTCAGGCCACAGAATACACACTCAGAATACATACAATACAGGGCCTGTGCTGCATAAAAACTGCTACATGAGATGGTTTTCAGAATGGCAAAGGCAGCCAGTGAGATGCTGAAAGCTACATATTAACAAGACTGTTAATATGCTGGGGGACAGGGTATTCCAAGGATACACTGTTGCAAGTTGCACATGGACTTGGGGATGGGCATGCAACATGGGTCACCTCCCCCAGGAGATCCCAGGGAAAGGTCTCAGGTCTGCATGCAAGCCACGGGGAGAGCACACACAGAGAAGAGCATGGGGATGTCACCTACCCGTCACTGTAAGCCCCATCGTGGCGGGAGGCGCCGAGAATGTCCATCTCAATGAGGTTGTCCTGCAATGTCCCTAGGAATGGCTGCTTGCCTAGGTTTCTACGCACACATGGAGACATGAATGAAGCAATGAGTCATGCATCGATGAGGGGGATAGTAGAGAAACACATAAAGTGGCTGTTTGGTGCAGCTGTGCGTGAGACCAGCGGGACGCGGTTTCCAGGCGATGGGTCAGTGTGCAAGCCACATGTGCAAGGGGTCCACCTGGCACAGAGCATCCAGAGGGAACATTCTCTATACAAACCCAGACATCTGGCCATTTGTGCATCAAATCACAGCTCTCGCTAAGGAGGCCTGACACGTGTCCAGCACTGAGCTACGCATGTTACCGCCATTTTCTCAAGTCTTCAAAATAGTTTAAGAGAGGAAGGCGCACTATCCCCATTCTACAAACGAGGAAACTAAGATGTGCAGAGGTAACAGGACTTGCCAAGGTCACCAGCCAGCAAGGTCCAAAGTAGAAATCTGAGCTCAAGTTTGTCTGATTCCAAAGCCTATTCTTTCTCTTCTAATTGATGCTGCCTATAGCTGCTTAAAGAGTACTGGAGACACTCATTTTGCTAGTCCAAAGAAAAAAGAAAGTCAAGCATTTTGGGCTATTATTTTCTACAGCAATCGTTCTCAAACTTTAGAAAGCCTCAAACCATCTGTAGTGCATCACTGAGGCCCACCGCTAGAGAGTCAGGGTCAGCGGGTGCGTGGGGCCTGAGACTCTGTATTTCTCTTAGGTCCCCAGGGTGATGCTGCCCATGGTTGGAGTCTCATGGTCCTTTAGCTGTGCAGGGACGTGGGTGATGATTGGTTAGCCAGGATGACACCACACAGAAAACAGAGGGAATATTCTGTCCCCCAGGTGCACTGAGGGCAGCCACCACTTTGTGACTTTGCCTACTTCTCACCTGGAATGAATAGACACACTTGCCCTTTTTGGTCTCAACCAGGCTTGTTACGTGACATCATTCACACCTGAGTGCCCTGGGGCCTGTTTTCTGATCTTTTCAGGGTTGCTGCCAGCTCACTCTCAGACCCGATAGTGAGTCATTGCTAACACACTAGTGGTGCCTTCAGCCTATTCCATGTGCCTGAAGGAAGGACTAACTGCAGAAAGCTAACTTTTGGGCCCACCCCTACCAAGAACCTTCCTTCTGACCTTGGCCAGGTCTTGAGAACCAGTATACCCAAATTGAAGTCCCTTTTATGCTACTTTCTGTATGCTGTGTGACTTTGGGTAAACCCTTAACCTCTCTTAATTTTACTTCCTTCATGTAAAAAGGGATTATAATACTAAGTTCACAAGGTGGCTATAAGGATCAACTGAGATAATGTTGGGAGAAGTTTTAAGGACCATACAAACATTACAGAGGACTAAAGCCAAATATAATAGCTGCTATCTACTCTGTACCTACACCACATATCACATAGTTGCTAGGAGCTCTGCAACTAATTTAAGTCTTATTCCTCAAAACAACCCTGCAAAGCCAGTATTGTAATTGCTCTTTTGCAGACTGCCAAAGCAAGGCTCACAGAAGCAACTTCTAAGTTCGTATCATACAGTAAACAAGTGACACGGCTGGAACTGGAACCTGGGTTTGTCAGACCCCAGAGCTCAGGCCCTCTCTGCTTCATAACCCTGTTTTACTCCGCACAGCATCATGACTACTGCCCCCTGGCCAGCCTCAAAAACCAAAACAAGGAGGACGGGCTATAAGTACTGTTTCAAAGTTCCATGTCATTAACATCCCTGGGGGGACAGTGAGAGACCAAGGCAACACTGCTTTGTGGCCGGGCCACTAAGTACTGCAGGGGCGGTGGGGTCCTCTGGTTCAGTGAGTCATAAAGGGCTGTCTGGGCCCAGCAGCCTGGATGGTAGGCTGTTCTGCTGGTGTTCAGGGGCCCTGAGGCCTCCCACTGTGCCTGGGAGGAACTTCGGGGGTATGGAAGTGCCTCAGAGTGGCTTCATTTCCACCTCCAGGCAGGTGGCTCTGCTGATGGGAGGCCTGGTGGCCCAGCGGGAGGCACACAGGACCTGAGTCCCAGACCCATCATTTACTGGCCCTCGGCAGGTGAGCCCATCTGAGCATCCATGGAAGGGGATGATGTTCACTTATAGAACCAAAGTGTAATTTGGCTATCACTTCTCTGCTCTCAACTCTCCAATGACTTTACAAGCCTTTTAGAATAAAACCATAGTCCTTACCAGGGCCCACAAAATCTTGGAAGATCCAGCCCCTACTACTTCTCCAAGCTCATTTTCTGTGCTATAGCTTCACGAGCTTCCTTGCTGTTTTTCCAATAAGCCAACCTTTTGCTTTCATCTGTCTCCCCCAAATACCTCTATGGATCAAATTCCTCCCCCAAATATCTGCATGAAATATAAACTCCCTTCTTAACTATTACCTTCTCACCCTTATAGCCCCCACCCCACTCTTCTCAATCACACCCTTGCCCCTTGTACCGATTACTCCTCACAGGACTCAGCACTACCCACGTATAAGGAAAAAATAAAGCTGTGCCAGTGCAAGGGGCCAGGCAGGGCATGACTAGGAAGAGATAAATGTATATCTATATGTTTACACACATGTATATGTGTGTATATGTTTGCCTGCTTATTGTATTTTTTCTTAATGCAATTTAAGTTCCACGAGGCAGGAGTCTTATCCATCTTGTTCACTGCTATCTGCCCAGAGTCTAGAAGAATGGCTGGTATTTAGCAGTAGGCCTTTATAAACATATGCTGAATACTGCTGAATTCAGGGATACAAAGGGAAGCATGCCTGGCATATAGCAGGCACACAGTTGGTGCTTAACTGAAGGCAGCCGCAGGGGGTGTTTTATCATTACTTCCTCCATCCCTTGCATTTCAGGAGGGAATTGTCTGCTCTCTCTACAGTGTGAGTAGGTACCAAGGGCCCCTCCCCAGAAGGCCCAGGGAAGAGCTCCTATTGCCTCCTGGGGACCTGCAGCTGGCAGCATGGCACACTCCCTAGAAGGCCTGGGAGCTGGCTGGCACCACCAGCCTGGGACTGTGCTCTCAGAGACAAATCTATAGCTTAAAATCACCAGAAATACACCAAGAAATAAAATCAGACAAAAAGGACAAAGGATAAAGATAAAAATGTTAACAGTGGGGATTTTCAAGTGACTGGATCAAGAGTAGTTTTCATTTTGATTTTTATAATTGAAAAGGAAACAGTTATGTCTAAAAAGGGAGAGAACAGATAATTATCTCCTAAAAGTACAGATCTGTTAGGACAAGGGGAGAGGCAAGGCAACAGAATAAAGGCCTTCTAGAGCAACAGGGCGCCAGGTCTCCTGAAAAGAGCTTCCACATTCACGCTAACTCGGATATTAATCATTTAGATCACTCGGGAATTTGGGGGGACGTGAGCACTTGCTGAAAATGCTGGCTATTCAAAATGCTACCGCTGCCTTGAAAAGCTTTACTTTGTACTTTTAAAACTTAGTTGTAGGTCAAATTATTTGTCATCATTCGATTGATGAGAAAACTGAGGCCCAGAGAGACATGTGCCCTGCTCCCAAACCCACAGCAAGTAGGGGGCACAGCTGAAAGTACATCCCAGGTGTCCTGTCTCCCAGTTCAAGGCTCCCCTTTAAATTTGCCATCCCTGCCAACACACAGAGTGTCCACTTCTTCTGAGAAACAGAAGCTGCAAGGATTTCTTGAGGGGGACCCTAAGCTGCTGGGCCCACCTTGGGTGGCAGCCCTGCATGGTCTCCTCTCACTGCTGCTGGGAGCTCAGGTATGGCCCCCTGATTCACTTGACCCACACACGGGTGGGTGTTATTACCTCATTTTACAGGTATGGGAACTAAGGTCCAGTCAGGTTAAGTGACTGCCCAGGATCATAAAGCAAGGAAAAGGCAGAGATGGGACCCACACCAGATCTCTCTGACCTCCCAGCCCCAAGCTGCCTCCTAGGAAGAAGGTCAGTAGTACTTGAGGTGGCAGCTGCAGCCAAGTGGAGAGCTGTTCTCAAAGCTATTCTCAGAGCAGGGAGGGACTGGCTCCCCTTTCAGCATGGAGTGGTGGTGACGGGTGATTGGACTAGCCCTTGAGCTGCCTGCAGTAGGGGCTTCCGGCCCCATCTGTCTGACCAGGGCAGGCTGAGCTCACCTCGAGAGGGCAGAACAAATGGCTTTCAGGAAGAAAGTGGCCAGGAAGCTGCAGGGGCCAGCAGTTCTTCAGGACTGTCCTGTTTAACAGCCCACCTTCTCCCAGTGAGCCCACTGTCCTGGACCACATTTCTCCCCACAAAGCTCTAGGAGAGCCACTGCTGCATCTGATTCCCACAACTACCTAGAGGGGCAGGACAGGCAGGGATCAAACCCCACCACCTGTGGCTGAGCCCCCAAGGTGTGCAGAGAGTCAGTGACTCAGCCGGGACCACACAGAGAGTTAGTTATGGAACGGGCAGGCATTTGAAGAAATGAATGGGAAAAAAATGAACCAGGTACCAGGTCTTCCAGGCCACAGTGATACTTCTAGAAGGCGAACCCCATAATCCACCCTCTGATTTAATAAATGCTGCTAGCTACTCACCCCCACTTCTACCACCCCCAGCTTCCACGTCTACAAGGAAGAGTGCAGCCTCCTCTTCACGTAACTCAAGACCCTCCTCTGCTGATTTCCATTTGCTCCCATCTTTAGGAGACTCCCTGTGCTCCCACCTCACCCAGCTGTTTGCCATCTCTCCAAAAGGCCAAGCTCTCTCCTGGCCCTATGCCCACGCCCAGCAGTCCCTGGGCTCCGCATTCCTTTCTCCCTGCAGACTCCTCTCAATGGAGTCCTGGCTGTAACATCCAGGAGGCTGGCACCAGGTAGTGTTCAGTTGTATAGGCTCCGGAGCCCACCTGGAGAAGGGACCCCGGCCCTGCTACTACTGGCTGCTGGACCTTGGGCAAGTTCCTTCTCTGTACTTCAGAGTCTTCACCTCTAAAATGGGGATGATAATAAGACTACCCATGTTGCAGAAGAGTTACGACAGTAGTCCTGACTGCCGTGCTTTCAAAGACCTGCT